CATGATCATAAAAAGTTTCTTTGATGAAGGTTGGGCACAGAACTAAATATGAGTATTTAGAAGGCAGTTTGACAATAAGGCCATTTAGCAAAAAACCATAGTAGTGGGGAACTTAAATTTATTATATTAAGCAAAGCAACTTAGATTCAGAGAGTCAAACACAGCATTTTCTCTTATAGGTGGATTCTACCTCTTAATTTATACACACACACACACAAACAAGCGCACGTGCGCAAGCATATGTATGTAAATGAGAAAGGAGACCAACTGAGAATAAAAATGGGTCTTAGGAGACAGGGGAAAGAAGAGGGGCAGATAAGGTAATAGAATACACATGACATGAAAACAGAAGGGGGTACTTTGGAGAAAACGGGTATCAGTACAAGGGGTTCAGGGGATGGAGAGGGAAAAGGGTCAACAAAGTGTGTATGAGAATTTCATTCTGAAGCTTATTTCTTCATTTTAAAGTAACCACATATCTTTAAACTCCTAGAAGTGAAGAAAGAAAGAACTACAAATGGCAATGGTAGGAAATCGTGTCAAGCACAACAAATTGCAGGCATAACTTGTCAACTGGTGGTACACCACCTGTGTCTTCATTCACACATCTATAATTAAAAAAATATTGTGCCATTATTATTTGAATTTCTGAAAGTATGCCAGCTTGTTATCTAAAGTACTTGAATACTTGAATTACAGATATGCCAATCCATATCTTGGGAAAACAAATTTTACAGATTTCCCATTTAATACCTGCTTGGAATTCAGAACTACTAATTAACACACTGTGAAAGGCTCACAGAGTGAGTGTGTGTGCCTCTGCTGGGAAAATAAGTGTCTGAAGGCCCTCCATCAAGAATTTGGGCATGGAGCACCCTACATCTTCCCTGTGAGAAAAGCTTCCCAGACAGCCTGACTCTCCTGATCCTCAGGAGAGGCTGATTGGTGTGACACTCCTTGCATAGCAACTTCCAGAAGAGGAAAGGACAGGAGCATGGGGAGCTATGAAAAGGCTACCTCCCCACACACCCATGTGCAAGTCATAAAGCATGTCAAGGCATGAATTCAAATGATCAGAAAGAAGTAAACTGTGTGCTCTCACCACTTTTCCCCTTTCCATACTCACTAGCCTGGTGGTAGCCCTTTTGAGCCCTGGTTGTCACATGCATGCTTCTTGCAAGGCTCCAGATAGAGCATCTTGACAGATTTCCCGGTCTCCAAAGGCATTACTGCAAGCATCATGAGGATTTATTCACAAGATCCCATGGAAACAATAGTGCTAGATAAATGTGGTTAAAGTGGAGGTACACAGGGTCATTAAGTCTTGCCTCCCCTGTAACAGGAAAAGTGAAATACAGGAAACAACATGCAACAATGCTTTTTATTATGGCAAACTAAATGGACATTTCAGGAGGGTGAGATATAAAAAACTGACCCTGGGGGAGGCTATTACTTGGCCTATCTGTTAATTTGGCTTCTTGATCATCAAGCCTCTAATTCAGACCATGGGCAAAGGATTAGAAAGAAACAGAAACAATAATGTGGATGAAGAGGAAGATGACCTCCAAGGGCTCCTTTTAGGACTTTGTTAGGAAGAATTCCGTTGAGACTGTGTCCTCGGTCTGGAGGGGAAAAGTTGGGATATTAGAAGAGCCTGGTACCCTGAATTCTATCCCCAGGCACTGGGATTCCATCTTGTTGAAGGCCCAGGGACATTTATCTTTCACCCCCTTGATTCCCAGGCCCCACCTGTACTGTATAAAGGACTTTGTCATCTCCAAAGCAGTCTCACTCATCCTCAACATACCTAGGAGGGGGGAAGAAGGACAGGTAACTTCCGTTACTACCACAAGAAAGATGCAGTTACCACAAAATACCACCACTTAACTTATGCTACTCATTTACTGGGACATATGTGCCAGACTTAGGACTATTGTAGTGGTGAAGAAACACTTGGTAGAACCCATGATGCTTGTCAATACTTGTGCCCAGAAGGACTAAAAGCAGAAACTCAGGGACATTCCTAATAGTGGACCTTAAGTAGAAAATGAAGAACAAACATAACTCCTTATCTTTTAACAGTCGTTCCTATATTTCTATTTCTAGATACTATAGTAACCACTAATGTGCTTTGATGGGTCTGTCTTTTTGTTTGAGACAGTCTCATGTAACCCAGGCTGTCCTAGAACTCACTATGTAGCCTACAGCAATTGTATTCAGTTCCCGTTCCTCCTATCTCTACCTATCAAGTGCTGCAATTATTTACATACTTTACAAAGCTCAGCTTTATCTGACATATTTATTCATTTATTTTGTTACGTGTTTTGAGACATGGTCTCACTTTGTTAGTCTTGTCTGGCCTGGAACTCCATATGTAGATGAGGCTCACTTCAAACTCAGATCCACAGGTCTATGCCTCCCAAGTGCTAGGATTAAAAGCAAGTACCACTACACTTGGCCTGCATTTTCTTGACTAATGACTGATGTCCATGCTCACTGTGGATGGGGCCTCTCTGAGGTGGTGATCCTAGGTGCTATAAGAAAGCAAGTTGAGCAAGCCATGAGGTGTAACCCAGTTGGCAGCACCCCCTCCATGGCCTTTGCTGTAGAGCCTGCCTCCAGGTTCCTGCCTTGTGTTCCTGTCATGACATCCCTCACAGATGAGAGTGTGATTGTAGACTGCTAATGGAAGTAAACTCTTTCCCCTCCAAGCTGCTTTTGATCATGGTGTTTTATCACATCAATGGAAATTTTAACAAAGATAGCAGGTAAAAGGCAATGCCACCAAGTCTGACAACCTGAATTTGATTCCCTGGACCCTGGGAACTGACTTCTGAAAGGTGTCCTCCAACCTCCACACACTCCTTATAACATATATAAATGAATGTAGTTAATTATTTTGGCATGATACAGGCCTTGCCATTATCAAATTCTAAGAATTTGTTATGTATTTTGGATACAAGTACTTTATTGAAGATACACAAATATTTCTGATTTATTGAATTAACTTTTCAATTTTAAGAATTTCTTAATTTTTATTAAAAATTTATACAATGTAGTATGATATGGCTTCCTGTTTCCATATCTCCCCGTATCTTCTCTACCTCCCTACCTATCTGACTACATGCCTTCTTTCTTTCTCTACTTAGAAAGCAAACAGATAAATAAAAAAGACCTCACAAACCAGAGTTAAAAAATAGTGAAATAGCACAAGAAACACACATACACATATCATAAAAAGAAACCATAATATACTAGCAACAGACCAATGAGATAAAAATAATGCCCAAAAGAAGCAATATGAGACAAAAAAATCTTCAAAATCACCATTGAGTTCATTTCGTGTTGGCCATTTACTGCTGAGCATGGGACCTGCCCTTAAGTGTGGTTTATATAGCCAAAAAGACTCCACTGGAGAAAACCCATTTTTTCCTTTGCAAGATGTTATCATTTGGAAATAGCTTCTTGGTCATTTTTTCATTTCACTGGTAATATTTTTGAAGCAAAATGATTTGAAATTTGATAAAATCTACTTCATCTGATTTTACATTTTTTTGTATTTTTGCTGCTATCTATCAGAAACCACTGTCTAATTCAACAACATAGATCCTCTGTTTTCTTATAAGATTTTTCATAATTTGACCCCTGCCCCATATTTTAAGATTTATGCATGTTGTATGTATTTCTCAAACAGGGTCAACTTGTTATGAAGTTGAGATTGAACTTCTGTGAACTAGCAGTTCAGGTGTGCATAACTATGTCCAGTTTATTTGGTGCTGGGAATTGATACCAGGGCTTTGTGCTTCTTGGGTAAGCTCTCTACCAATTGAGCTATATAACCAGCTCATTTTCCCCTTCACTGCAAAATCCTGAGCTGTTTTTCCGTGTGTGTGTGTGTGTGTGTGTGTGTGTGTGTGTGTGTGT